CGCTCTTCCCAGAAGCTGGCAGGATGTGAAGGACAGCAGGATTCATCTACAGGGGATAAAAGTGAAAGCTTGATTGCCAGAAAACGGAGTGAAAAGTTTTTCTTTTCTTTACCAGGGAGAGGAAAGAACATATTATGAGAACTTTAAAATCTATGTATTCAGAATAAAAAGGAAACAATTAATTTAAACACATTTGAATGTGAATATATATTCACATCTACTTCATGAATGAAGTATTTTATTTTCTGTTCTGTCTTTATAAAGGCATCAACAGTAATATTTCAAGCTAGCCTAAAATAGTTTTTTCTTCACATTTTTCATTGGCAAGCTAGGACTAAATTATCCTCAGAGCTCTGCCCAACCAGTACATGATTGTTATCCTAGGAAAACTGCTGGACCCATCTTACCCCTGATGTTTTTCTACCTCAGCCTCAGCAAGCACTCTGATGGACTTAGAACCGAGTAAATACATCCGTCAGGGAGACTGAGAGCAAGCCCTTTGCCAGGCAGCAGGAACTCTACCAGCTTGGGCGAGTGCAGCCCATCACAGCACAAGTCCTCCCTCCATCCTATCAGCCCCTCTGCTCTCCCCACTCCCAGCCAGACCTCACCCTTTGCAGCTGGGCTTCTTCCCCCCTTCCCTGCCACCTCCCTCCCTTCCCCAGGCCCTCGGCAAAGCAGTTGCAAAAAGGAAAATAAAGTTCTGGTTTGGTAATAGCTTTTAAATGCAAAGCATAATGGCTAGAAGCTCAGAAGTGTAATCACTGAACAAACTGTCGGAGGTTCAGCCTGTTTTGAAGACAGTGACTAACTTTTGTTTCAAAGGTTAGATGCACTGGCCTGTGCAGTACAGAAGGACATATGGAGAGCTGCTTGTGTCTCAACACAGGTTTTAAAAAAATTTTTTTTACACACTGGGTAATGGGTCTGCATCAACAGAGAATCCACCGGGTGAAAAAAACCCCAGGATCTTAACTTTTATTTTCTTTTAAATTTACCCTCCTTCATTTACAACAGTGGCAAAATAACTTCAATCAAAATGAGGTTAACATTATTTTTAACAGATGTTCACCGCTGGCCTGACCCAAAATCCATTGACGTCAATGAGAAGACTCCATGGGGCTTTGGACTGGGTTCTAATTGTTGGAAAAATTAATGTGATTGTAAACCACTGGTCAGTACTGTCACATGCTCCCCTTCTGTGCCAATTCTATATGACCAGATAACAGACTCACATAAATCTCTTCCAACTGTTGGCTAAGAGGCTAAAGGACACAGAGGTTTATCTTTTTTAATTCTGAAGCACCCTCTTCCTCCCCAGCACACTCCATGGCAATGCTGTATTTACTGGACAGACGCAGCATTACGGACAGTACTCATGCAAACAAAACATTCCACACTCAAACACTGGGTGGAAATAACAGAATTCTAAATGCTGACTGTATGAAGACAGCTGAACTATAGATACATGTGAAACCAGATACTTTGGTCTGTATACTTTCGAGACAGGTTTGTTTTTCTTAACACAGATCTGAAGGAAGGGTTGCACTTACTGTTAAGAAGACGAAAGTCTATAAACGGGTAGGAGCCGCGGCGCTCGGAGAGAACCCCTGTCTGACTTCTCACCCGTGCATCTCCTGCAAAACACAAAATCCCCAGAGACGTTAGAAGGGGCAGCTGCCTTTCCCTGCAGTTTACATCCAGATCTATTTTCTGTTCCAAGTGGTGACATTACACTCCTCCAGCAGGAAAACTAAGGTCCAAACCATCATCTCCCATGGCATCCCTGGGTAACGGGGTGAAGTGGAACAGCTGATCCTCGTAGCAGAACAAAGGCACAACCCCCCGTGTTTATTCTATTGAACAGCTTTTTGCCCACTGCTTGGCTTTCTCTGCTTCAGTAGTGTAGAAGTCCAGACAAGACCATCTGGATTCTGACTGTCATGGCATCACACACAAATGTCTCAAGCTTGGACTAGGCTCACAGTCCAAGTGACCTTCAAAGCTTTGGGTCTGGACTCAAAATCATGAGTTGATGAAAAAAGACACAAACAAAACATCGAGGTTTTTGTTTGTTTGTTTGTTTGTGTGGGTTTTTTTTAAGTTTGTTTTTTGCTTTACTTACTGCTCTTTGAGCATTCTGGAAAATGTCAGCCTTCTCCTCAAACACTGAAGCTGCTTTATGTAAGCAAAATCTGATGTTCTCAGATAAGCATTAATCCAGAGCTTTAGACTGTAAATTCAGATATCATAAAGTGACAAGACAATACTACGAATTAGTATTGCTGTGTAATTCACATTGATTAGCACGTAACTTACCATGTCATATTGATGAAATAGGCAAAACTCATTTAAGAAGAAAAATGCTACTCAGGATGAATAAACGTTACAAAAAACTCACATTAAGTAGATTGGAGGCAGTGGGAGGCAGATGTAATTTTTTAATTCCCATAGCTCTAAATATCTTGGACTGTAATTTCATATTTTCTTTAGAGGCAAATATAAGACCAAAACATAAAATAACCCAACAAAACCTTAAATAAGTAAAAATTTGGAGATTTTAGAGGTTCAGGTCAGAATACTCCAGTTCTTCACAATACCAGTTTGTCCTCTGCCAGAGCTCAGGCCATAGTGCTGAGAGCACACCCACTGCACCTCCTCTGAGAGATCCCACTGTAGGCCTCCCAAAGTTTGCCATAAAATTATGAATGATTAGCTAGTTTCAACTGTGCTTCCTCTGGGATACGAATATAGCAGCTGACTAATCTAAACAAAAATAATTTAAGAATTTGGCTGCTAGTGCTAGCCTCTAGTGCTTGCGTTTAAAAACAAGCACCATAAAAGAAGGACCTAGTTAGATGCTGCTATTTTTTCCTATATGACGTACACTTAAAATGTGCTTACAATTATGTTTAGGGGAAGAAAGTCAAGCTGACTATTAAGCTAAATATTCAAGGTGGAGAAAAACTTAACATGCCCTCTAGGGGTCCTTAGAGGTACAAAGACATGGGACCGTGCACTTGAATTGAGACTATGTCAAACAAAGTCACTTTTGATTATAAAACTAAATCTATTTTCTCTCATTCTTACTTTTTCTTTGCTTTTTTTATTTCCAGAGTCAGACCACATGTTCCCTGTACTCAGCCCCTGCTTGCCAACCACTGGCTCTAAGGAACCAACCCAAACCAACTCCAGCTGTTACCACTCCAGATAGCAGGGGCAGGAGGTGCAAACCCCTGGCTGCTCTTCAGCTGTTGCACTTCAAAGCTACGGTGACAGCCTGGCTCTACCTTCAGCAGCAGTTTAAAACCATGTGCCGCTTGTGCCAATGGAGGTGTTATCAACCTACTCCCCTGCCGTCCTTCTGTTGAAGGGCAGAAGGGTGGAGCAAATAGCTGGAGAGCTTATAAACGACCCCAGCAAGATTCTTCAGCATCCATCAGTCAGAGCTCATAAAGCAGCACCCTGACTTAAAAAGCACTGCTCTCTGCCACAGGGAGACCCGTCAGATCGGCTGGTTCGTGCAGGAAGAATAAGAATGGCAAGCATATGGTACACATTATACAAACCCTAAAACACCCAGGCAGGCTTGAGCCTGTCACTAACACAACCATCAGCAAATGAAGAATGGGTGTAAATTCAGAGAATGGCTTGATTGAGGCTTTTGTTTTGCTGTATGCACCAGTGAGTAACGGGAAACTGCAAATAATCCCCTGCATTAACACACTGATAAATATGTCACTTGTGACTGAACCAACAGACACTTTGGAAAAAAAGAGACACATTCAAGCTCAAAAAATCTGAAAAAAAAACCCCAAGATATATGATACTGTAAACCCAGAATGACTGATTTTCTTTCTGGACAGGAAATAATTTATGTATCAGATCATAAGAGTTACCATAGTACTACAGAATAACGATCTCATACACAGTTATGTATATAAAAAAATTGCCTAACTCTGATCTCAATAGCATGACCCTACATTTTGAGGAAAAGAACATCAAAGGAAGGTAGACAGATGGAACACTTGAAAAAACACAATGTGGGCTTACCAAAAGTAGACCATAAAAGATAAAATTTGATGCTTAATTACCTCAAATAAAATAGCTAATTGTTAGACAAGAGGAAAAATTCAACACTGTAGCTTCAACCATGTGGACTTTATTAAACATGTAAGAGAAGACACGAGGTTAGAACAAAAATTGAAGTTGGAAAAGACTAGAAGTAAGAACATAACAAGGTGCATTGGAAGGAGACTTTGCTTGAGAACAATTACAGTTGGGAATGGCTTTAAATTTTTTTATTGATGATCTCGACACAGAACTAGGAGAGAAGTAATGAGACTTGATGATAACACAGAGCTGGGAGTTATCAGGTATATACTGCTATAGCAGTTTTAAATACTGTTCACTGCTACTGTTACCTGCTCTGCCCCAACTGCTCTATGGCCCAGCTACCTGCAGTTTCCACTTTCATTTTACTGGTAGTCCAATTTCCTCTCATGGAGGATGCCTCCTACCGAACTTAAGACTAGCTAACTCAGACACATATGTAGACTATTCAGGCAAGGTAATTCCAGTAAAGAGAGGGAAAGCAAGGGAGGTACTGATGCCATCAGCCAAAGCACTTGGTAAAAGTTCATCTGAAATACTGTTTCTGAGAAAGCTGAATTCCTCCTGGAAAAAGATGAGAGAGGGATCTCTAGGAAGATGATCAGGGCACTAAAATCCTCTGGGAGCAATGTTCACCACCGATAAGTAGCAGAGTAAGGAAAGAGCCATTTAGGTGATCAGAAGAATATAATTCTGAAGGAGCAGATGGAAACAATTGAAGCAGCTGATGGCACGTGCTTTATACACAGTGAAAGACCTGAAACAGGTAATGACTATGCTTGATGATCATCAAACTTGCTACCAGCTCTACATTCTTCAAATTAAGGAAACCTGAACGAGTTTAAACGAACCAGTAAAGCCAAAGACCTGAAGTCATGGAAAATTACTGATTATTTTGATTGGCTACTTGTGTGATTTTACAGTTTTTACTGATAATAAAAGCCTGGGGTATCTCTAGCACTACAGCAATCTATATGCAGAATCAATCTGCAACTCTGCTGACTTAGTAGAAGCCACTAAAATCCTTGTATTTGAGGGTTATTAACATTACCCTCAGGGAAGGCAAGTTTCTGATGGGTAGATGATGTTATCAAGTAGCTCTACCTCATGAATCTGTTATTTCAGAATACTTCGCCAGGTGCCTCCTAGTCTCTTTCTACATCATTAGAGAAAGATTAGTTGGGAAGGGGTGGTGGGCTAAATCAACCACACCTGCTTTCCTCTGTTTTTTCTTGGCTCACTTATTTGGAAAACATTTGTATTCTTCCCTACGACTTTTAATTACCTCTAAGTACCCTCAATAGAGATACTAAGTATAGGAATTGGAGCAGATGCACAGCATCCCACATGATTTTTAATTTCTGATTGGCGAGGCCATTCATGGCAACACACCAGACTCTCTTCTTTGCTTTGACAGAGGACTTTGAGGGCAACTTTCATCAGTCCACCAGACTTTTATATCTCTTTGTTCTCCACCTTAAAATCAAGCTAAGCAATTGTTCTGACAATTTATGCAATTAGCAGTTTTAGATGAATAATCTTTTTTGGAGCGAAAGGAAGGATTCTGTGGAAACTGGGCAGGAAATTTTGACAGCTCATTGTGTTCCCAAGTGAAACAAACAGGGTGAAGGGAAATGGCAAGCGTAGAGGTTCTCCTTGGCTGCTTTGGGCTGAAGATGCAAAGCTGGAACATTTGCAGTCACAAACACAAAGGGCTGCACCCTTGCTGGAGCCAACAGGCCATGAGAGCTCCAGCAGGAACATCTCCCAGGGGCCACCAGGCTCTTTACATTTGCTTTGCCCTTGTAAGAACAGTCAAGAAACCAAACCAAGCAAAGAAACCTACATTAGGTAACAGAAGCCTGTGCAGCACATATGACTGACACGCACGACAGCTTATACTCACAGGAAAATAAGGCATGGGACAAGACCCATGGTAGTGCTGAGGCTGCAGTGTCAACAGGGCTTCAAAATGGGCAGAAGGGTTAAGGAAAACATGAGGCAGCTCTCAGCTGCCTGACATGTCTGGAGGAAAGAGCCATCTGCACTGAGGAAAAGAACTCAAAGATTCCCCTGAAAGGACGTGGGATTCAATTTCACTGAGCAAGCACAACAAATCAGGAGAGAAAACAGGGCCATAGCTGTGACAAAACAACAGAGCAGCTTTATGCAGCAGAAGTTAGGACCAGCCACCAAATTCTTGATTTTGTTTAGTACACAGCTCCATGTGGTAAGTCAGGAATACCACAGCAAATTCACAAGAGGTTACAAGTATTTATTCTAGTTAAGCTTTTCTACAGTTTTCTTCCAAATATTTCTTCAGCTGACTGCTTTAGGACACATACAGCACTTTCCATGGAAAACTGAGTGGCAGTAATAAAGCCCTTTATGGAGCCCATGGAGCCCCTGTCTCCTTCTCTATTTCAGTTATGAAAAAACTTGGAATATCTGAGATGCAGGAAGATGAGTTGTTGATGGCTTACTCATAATTCGGGTTTCGGAGGAAAAACTTTCTAAAAGAGGG